CATAAAGTATCAAAAAATAAGTGAATAAATGAAAGGAAAAGCTTTACGGAAGACAGATGTTTGAAAGAAAAGAATGAGCAAACAACACTAGAACACCCACCAACCGCCCACTGATTCAAAGGCCACGCCATAACCGGTTTCCGTTACAAAGAGAAGAAGAAAAATTATCTGCTGCGCGCTGAGTGAGGCCCGCTAGACAATTATTAAGAAACGCACAGGTAATAAAAATTAAAAAACGAAAAAAAAAAAAAAACCCAACCGAATTAGTTCCGTGTTACCTGTATATATGCACAAGACGAGTCAGCACGGGCGACATTCTGTAAAAGCTGTTGAGAGAGAGAGAGAGAGAGAGAGAGAGAGAGAGAGAGAGAGAGAGGGAAAACGCCGCGAGCATCGAGGCGCTGGGTAGATCGCAGAAGATCGTGACAGGGACAGGATACAGGATACAAGGATATATCATTATAATGTGTTCTTTTTACACACGGAGAGCACTCACCCGTTTGCTGCAAGATTAAGGTAACTTCTGATACATATACAATTTAATACGTCGTACTTTAACAGTTTAGGCAGGGTGTAGTGTTTCATAATAATCTTTGACCTCATTTATTTGTTTTGTTTGTTTGTTTATTTTTTTGTTTGTTTGTTTATTTGTTTGTTTGAGTTAAAAGATGCACATCGACACAAATTTGAAACCCCACCTGTTCGACTTTACAAAGTAAAACAAAGCCGTGCTGTGTACTAATGTGAAAACAACCAACTTGAACACGGCATGCTCATCATGATATGACCTTATGCAGTTAGATTCTAATTGTGATGGCCGTAAAACTTATACCAGACTGACACTGAACGTGGACACAACAACGGTCATTTCGTGTAGAGGGAAATAAGACAGAGAGGCAGTTTGTTTGTTTGTTTGCTTGTTTGTGTGTGTGTTTGTTTGTTTGTTTGTTTGTTTTGGGTCGAGAGGAGCTCATCAATACAATAACGGCAATTTCTTGTTGGAAGAAAGTAAGACAGACAAAAATAATTGAGGGAAAGTAGATCTAAATAAGTTGGAGGACCTATTAGTGGCGCCCTCCAACCACCCGCTGGATAGACAGAAACAACAGAGTGAGGAGATAAGAAGTAGGACCTGACCCACCATTGGCGCCCTCCACCAACCACCCGCCCCACATTTACAGTTGTACCTGCGTATGCAATTCTCAGTTTCCAAAGAGCAGAAGTCTGCCAAAAACATTAAAAGTTCGCTCTTCCTCTTCCTCGTGGGTGTCTTCTTCTTTCTTCTTATCGATCGCATCACACGTGAAGTCTGGTATCTGTCATAAATTGGGCCGTCCTGCTCAGTTCATCTGTTGGCCCGTATAGCTTCTCTTGTAGTGAAGTCAGTGGGGTTGGCCACGTTTTCTGTGTCCGGGCTCTGTGTGTCTTGCAGTGCTGAAGGATGTGTTTTCGTAGTCGTGGGTGTATCTTGTGGTATTGTTAAGTGTTTACGGCTCAGCAGCGGCAGAGTTCAAACGTGACTTTTGCAGCGGGAGACGATATACGAGCGGGCCAATACATTGTACAATGTACTGTGTGGCGTGGATGGTGTTGCGACATATATGTCACGTTCTACTGACATAGATACTGTTGATGTAATGCTTGCAACACGGATTTACAGATTGTGACTAATGCGTCTCTCTCTCTCTCTCTCTCTCTCTCTCTCTCTCTTTCTATCTCTCTCTCTCTCTCTCTCGCTCTCCTTCTCTCTCTCTCTCGCTCTCTCTCTCCTTCTCTCTCTCCTTCTCTCTTTCTCCTTCTCTTTCTGTTTGTGAGTAAGTGTGCTTGTATGTGTGCTTGTGTGTG